CCCCCCCAGAGACCTCAGACCCTTCCGGCTCTGCCAGGAGCACATGTTCGACCCCTTCCCCTCTTGAGCCTGGATTTTCTCATTTGTAAAATGTCACTAAGCCAGCGATGCTCTTAACAGAGAGGGGAAGCAAGAAGGGGGACGCAGGCACTTTTAGAAAACGCGTTCCATTAACACCAAGCTTGACCAAATCTTGGCTGACGGGGACAGCACACTGCAGAGGGCATGCGCTAAAAAATCTTGAGAAACACTGTGCAGAATCATCTCCAAGGGCCTCAGCGTCAAGGAGGGATGGAGTGGGTTGGATACACTCTCCCTGATCACAGACTCTGCTCTGAGAGATAGAGCCTGCACGCAGCCAGCTCAGACGAGCAAAGGTCAGAAAGAGGTGGTACTTTCTATTCCAACTGAGCCTGAGGGGAAAATCACTCAACAGTACAGTCTCCACAAAAATCTCTCTCTGTGCCCACTTCACCCTTGCCCGGCGCTCTCTTCCCACCCCGAGATGCCCAGAGCCAAAGAATCTGCTATCACCCATTTAGACATCAGTCCCATGTAACCTCTGGTCCTCAGTCTTCCTGGAAAACTCGCATATGGCATCTTCTCTTGCCTTTAAAGAAAGCGGGCAAGGGGAATGGTCAGATCAGGGCTGGGGGTGGAGGTGGGACATGTGTGCCTGGAACCAATCCCGGAGCCCCATGGCCCCTCACAGGCGTCTCCAAGGAGGTCGAGAGAGGCTGGCACAGCAGAGAGATGTCCAAGAAGAACGCTTGACAAGGACATGTCGGAATGGGGAATGGAGAATCGCAAATTCCGTTCTTTCCAGCCAGCCCCTCAAACCCTTGGGGTCTCTTTCCTGGTTTTCAGGAATAAAATCAAGCCCCACATTTTTTAGACTGACAACAAAGAGAATGTTCACACGGGGGAGGAACAGTGGCCTCGACACCCCTTTGCTTGGGGTTTTCTTGGAGTACTTGCCCCACGTTATCACAGCCACCCCCATGATGGCCTCACGGGACTCTATGCCCTGAATGCCACGGTTCAAATGTTTCCTCAACTCTCTCCACAGCCCCTCAGAACAAAAAGCGATATGGGTGCCTCGGTGGCTCAGCGGGTTAAGCGTCCAACTTCAGCTCAGGTCATGACCTTATGGTTTGTGAGTTTGAGCCCCTCCTGACAGCTCAGAGCCTGGAGCCTGCTTTGCATTCTGTGTCTCCCTCTCTCTGCCCCTCCCCTGCTCACATTCTCTCTCTCTCTCTCTCTCTCTCTCTCTCAAAAATAAATAAACGTTAAAAATATTTTTTTCAATTTAAGAACAAAGAGCTATGAACCCAGAGATTTCGTGGGAAGCCAGGTCCCCTGGAAGAGGCAACAGACTTATTCAGCTTTGCGGGGCGGGGAGGGGCTCCCGGCTGAGTAGGAGAGGACATGTCGCCTGCAGCATCCGCCACCAGGAAGTGCCCTCCAGAGAACCCTGACCTCTCAAAGCCCACACTGAAGCGAGTATGACCCAGAGAGGAGCAGGAGCCCCCTCCCCTCCTGTCTAAGCTCAGCCATTAGCATCCCATTGGCCCAAAGATGGCCTGCCTCTTCTCCACTGATTGACAGATGGGAATGTTCACACTCTTCATGCCCATCTGCACGAGCTTAACTTTATCAGACTTCTGCAAGATAAGCTTATCAGCATACAACCCAGGAGGCCCAATCTCTGTGTGAGGTAGGAGTGATTTTGTGGCGTCTCGAAATTGGCCCGTCCACAAATCTGCCTTTGTGAATACGGCTGTTCCCTGTGGCCACTCAGCCTTGGCCACCCACAGACACTGTGTGGATGCTGGGGCTAATTTCTCCAGACCACTCTTCGCAGGCAACCCCGGCCCACTGGCTTTCTGGTTGGTTCAGCCAAAGGAGGACTCTAGGAGGATGGGGAGGCCAGAGAGGAGAAAACCACAGAGAGATGACTCCTGTCCCCAGGTGACCTCTGGTTGGCTAAGATCAGCCTCGATACCCCCTGCAACATGCAGTGCCAGCCTTGCCCACGTCACAGAGGCACTAGTAGCCAGCTGAGCTATGACCCTCAAGGACCCTCATAGACTGCCAGCCGTGCCACACTCCACCCCACCCTGGATGCCCTCGGTCACGGCAGTTCTGCTGGGTTAACCCCTCCCTCTGGGGTCTGAGCACCAGTCCCCTTGGGCCCCTCCTAGCCCAAGAGAGACCATCTCTTCTCTTTTGCTCCCCCAGCTCCCGGGATGGTAGCTGTTCTTGCAATTACTAATTCTTGGGGTCATTTCAGCTTTCCAATTCCTGTGTAACTAGTCCTGTGTATTGAACGCCATCTGTTTGAGACATCTAGTGTGGTTTTGTTTTCCTGGCTGGACAAGAATTTTCCTCAGAGATCTCAAACTTGAGTGTTCCGATAGTCGTGATCAAGTCATAATCTGAACACCCTGGCACTTATCATGCATTTGAGAATATAAATGTTAACATTTTCAGATTAAAAGAAATGACAAGACACAGCAAAGTGTCAAGATCTCTCTGCAGGTTGGAGCCCGTTGGCACATCTTGTTATTACATATTTGTCATTTATTACACCAAATTTTTACGTATCAAAAAGAAAAAAAATATCCCTCGTCTAATTTTAGATCTACTGAATTCAAAACAAAAGAATCTCAAGGCCAACTTAGGAAGTCAACGGCAAGAAAATGGAATTGAACGCCAGCCCAGCAGGGAAGGACTGGGTAACTCTACACGTTCTATTCTGTTTATTATTTAGCTGTGTTGGGTGTGTTAGGTAAACAGTTATACGTTTCACTGATATTTCGGAACTTGGACAGTGTAGGCTATCAGGGTATTGGAAGATCTTACTTCATCTCTCATTTCATTCTTTTGGGGGGTCTGTGGTCTGAGAGAAACCCACTGAGAACAAAAGACCCCCGGACAGAGCTTGGACAAGGTGTCCTAGTCCAGGAAGTCCAAGGGAGGATCTGGCGCCTTCTCCTCCACACCGAACCCATAATGATGAGAGCTGAGAGCAAATTTTGCTCTGATATCTGCCCAGACACAGAAAGAGAGGAGTGGCAGGAAGAAGCAGCCCCCAAGGGGCTGGCAAGGCTGCTTTAAGCAACGTCCTGTCCAGGTGGGCTGTTTGCAAAAAGACAGGAAGAGTAATAGAGTGACCATGTGTGGCATGAACTTTCTGAGCACAGGGACCAGAGCTGTTCACTAATGCAGTTTCCGGTCTCAGACCAGTGATTACTGAGTCCTCCTCCTTTGGGAAGGCTGTTGTAGAGAGGGGAAGGCAAAAAAGCAAAATCACAGAGAGCAGAATTATCCCCTCTTCTACAGGGGACAGGGCTAAGAATGTGGGGAGAGGGAGCAAATCACCTTTGCATTCCCTCACATCATCTCTACCTCTTTCTGCTGTACCAGGACCCACATCAAGTCCGATCCAGTGGGTACCACCCTACAGATGTGGCCCTTCACAGACCTCCCTCTCCACAATCCCACTGACACCGGCTTCGCTGAAGCCATTTGGTCTCTCCTCTGGTCCCCTACAAGAAACGTCTAAATGATTCCCCCTACTTCCATCTATCCGTAAATAGTGCTCAGTGTCCTGCCAGGCACCAGAGACAAAGCCCAGCCCCCGAGGAGCTCAGGAGATTGCAGAAGAACAAATACTAAACAATTGCAAAGGAGAATGAGGGCAAATAACAATAAATGCATAGTGCTGCTGCCAGTTCTCGTCATGGGACTGGCTTACTCTGGGGAATTGAGGAAGGCTCCTGAGGCTGGTGGTGAAGCCAGGACCCGGAAACTAAGTAGATGCTGATGACGTGATGGGGGAGAGATTGTTTCCAACAGAACAGGCTCTAGGGCACCAGGCCCCAGGCGAGGCCAGGGAATGGAAGAAAGCCAGCT